TAGTTTTTTTCACAATTGTCCATGATGAACTTGTGTAATGGTTGAATTGATTCTTTTACCTTATTATTTTGGACAAATTATGTCAATAGGTGTGCAGAGTTTACTCTTATTGGACATTTGGGGGCTTGAATTAACGGCATATAAGATGGTTACACCAACTTAAAGTTAGAATAGAACGATCGATCGAGTTATTTATGCTGATTAGTCCAATGGAAGATCATATTATAGTATGAAACGAGATCCGCATTATGGAGAATCATGCTATGTAAATCAACAGCCAAAAATTTTAATTTCGAATTCAGTCACTTTCTATTACCGATCATACCACAATCTCTGCAATTCATATTATCCAAACCAAGGTTCGCTAAGACAAATGAAGTAAGTCAAATATGACATACGAAATGAGTTGTAGTAGCTACAGAAAAACACATTTCTTTGGATAAGGTAATTCCTGCCTTCGTTTATGAGATAGTTATCAATCGCCACAACATACCTCTAAGTACATCAGAGCATTAGACACAATTATAGACACTGGTCAGACTAGGTTAATGATGACATAGTGAACAATCATGACTAAGAGAAAAGTAGACAATTTGTAGGGGCTTGGTACACACACACCTCAGTAATCCAATAAGCCTATTTAAATCGAAATACTCTAATCGACCAATAAGAAGGACAAATGAATACAAGATGAAAGATCAGATCAGGGATAAACAATAGAAAGCATAAACACTAATTACAACCAATCAAATTCATTGTGGACAGGATAAGCTATTATTTCTATTTCGAAAAAGATCCCAACAGCTCACTACTCTATTATTTGTGTTGCGGATGATATTATCTAAGAAAACAATGAAGGCTTTATTACTAAAGCACTTAGCTCATAGAAAACAACACTTTCAAAACAGTATCAATGTATGATGTAGGTTGTAAACTATTAAAACTCAAAAACACCAACAGCCCCTTTGAGATTGTTCGACATAACTCTTACCGATAAATGAAGACTAATAAGTACTATTATCCAATGACGACAGTTACGCTTCCGAAATGCTTGATGGTTTTTTACTTAACGATATATATTAATCAACCTTAATGTTCTGATTACTAGTGTTCTAGTAGTTGATTTTATGCTCTTATTAAACTAAATAAAAAGTTATGATGAGGAACTGTGTAACCAGTTGAGTGCAGTCATATCGGACATTTGAATGACATTACTAATGAGGAAAAGATAACAGTACAACAATATTAGGAACTGACTGAGATAAGAAATGAAACCACTGGATCTCAACTTAGTGGTTTAGGCGTCAGGAGATCACAAACAGGTCTGAGAATTATAGTTCCAACCCCTAGTAGGTTCGCAGATGTTTACCGACGCGGAGGTCCATACTAGGAACTAAACGGCTGTCCAATACTTCCTGGTTTTTAATGGTTATCTGGCTAAATTTAATTTCAATCATTTGAATTACAAATGATGATATTAATTTAATTCTTAAGGGTTTATGAACCATCCCGTTGTTAATACACTGAACTGTAATCAATCTTGGTTGGTAAATATGCATCCTGTACAGAGGAAATACATTTGCAGCTACATTGAGCAGCTAACAAGTCTCAAGAAGGGTGAAACCTACATTCTGGATTCCACCGCTCACTACAATCCATCTTTTCTATAAATGATGTCATCATCACCAAACTTCGGGCACATGTGACTAATCTACAACTATTGATTCACTGAACATAAACAAACAAATCTATATAAAAAGACAACCATTTGGTCACTAAACAATAACTAACGCCAGGATAATTTTATTTAACATGATAACAACTAAACATTTGAATGATAATAATAACAATGCTTGAATAGAATAACACAAACACAGCAAAATCGTGAATCTTTATTGTTATTCTTTGTGTTAGTGATGATAATGATGAGGATGTTGATGATGATGATGATGATGATGATGACAATGGAGTTCCAAGAGAAAAAGAAACCGACCAAAAGCAAATAAAAACGAATAGAACCCCCTTTTCTTTACTTTATTATTTTTAAAAAAAAAACGAAAATAAACTGATAAACAAACAAATCGTATTAGAGAAAAAGAAACTCTGATTGACTGACTAACTGAGTAGGACAAGTAAGGAGTTAATTGAGAGAAAGAGAGCGAGTTATAATAACAGTATAATTACCACAAAAACTGTTTCAACCAATTTTTTTTTTTAAAAAAAAGAGAAGAACGACAAATGCACTGGGATAAGCAAAAGAGAGTTTGATTGGGATCGTGAATGTGTGTATCAAAACCTCTTTTTTTTCATACCGACAGATATATGTAACCAAATAACCTGGAACATGTAGAAGACACGTTATTATGATGTTAGAACTTTTATTTGTGTACATTTGTTAACTATTATCTATTTTCTGTTCATTTAAGATTGTTCCTATTGTCGTATTTCATTAAAAGTGGTTATATTGCAGTAAGTTGATGGATTGCCACTATCTCTATATGTATATGCATGTGAAAGCATAATATTGACTTGACGATTATCACACCATAAGTATCCTCATCATAGTCACTATGCTCTAGTTCATTTTCATCAATGTGTAGTGAACGATATAAATGATTCAAAGATGATCCATTGAAGTGGGGGTGGGAGGGCAAACAAAAGATTAAAACAACCTAAAAAGTGATATAAATGTACACGAATGGAAATGGGGAGTGTTTGTGGTGGGGATGATGACAGAAAAAAAAAAGAGGTAGGTAGAACGTTACCATCTAAAAATAATTATTTTACCCTCTTACCACATCGAACAGAGATTAAAAAAAACACAGTAACAATATGAATGAAGAAGTTATCAAAACAAACTGTTATATTCCTACTGTGGACAGTTGGCATCTTTTTGTCTTATAATACATTTACAGATAGACAAAGTTCCGATGACTAAGGTATATAGTTGGAATTATATAATAAGTGTAAAATGAAATATTATTGGATGCATAAAATAGCATCGAATTGATCCTTTGTCGTTGTTGTTTTTTTATCAATAACCATTTGTACCTTTCGTGTAAACTGATTACAAAATGAATTGTTCAAAATGATCAGCTGAACCAGTTTCTTTTTTTGATAAAGGAAAACCGGGATAGTTAACACATACTACTCATTAACCGATTTATCTGTTTATTGATATTCATAAAAATGTCCTTGGTTATATCATGTCGATTCAAGATTACATTCATATTGGTTTGTTTATATTTCCTCTGTGAAACAAAATAACAACCAGATACAAACGTATGGCAATATGTATGTATAGTCGTCTATATGTGATTGATGTATCAACTTAATATGTATGTTTGTAAGAAAATGTACTTTTGTAATTGTGTTAGATATCTTTCTTAATTCGCCTAAACAGTAGAAAAGAAGAGATAAGGGTTTTGAAACCACATACACATATATAATGCAAATATACATTGTTTAAATAGAAAATAAGGTAGCAGCAGGGTGTAATGAAGTTTGACATTATTAAAAAAAAAAGAACAACTTCAATGAACCATAAATCAAATCATTATGTTTATATACGTATAAGATCTTGATACAGAAGAGAGGAAAGTCAATTTTTTTAATAAAAAAAAACTGAAAAGATAATAAACAACATACATGGATACTATTAAAAATCTAGTTAATAAGTAGTATATTGCAAGGAGAATGAGGGAGAGAGAGAGAGAAGAAAAAGCAAGTTTCGATACTGTGAATGAAATCTTGAAAGTAAGACGAGAATATATGTGTAGGCACATGAAGCTATGGTATTATTATTATTATTATTGTTATTTCATGACAAAAATACAAATGCTTTAGAGGATGATGTAGAAAAATTGGTGATATGCACCTTGTGGTTCTTTTGGGGTCGGAAGGGGGAGAGGTGAAAAGGCATTACACTTACCTACTTACTTACTTACTTATATTCACACATACATCCATACATTGGAAATTATAGGCGGAATTATTATGAAAAAACAAGAATTACAGTTGACGTTTTTAGAAAGAGAAGATAAACTGATTGTTTACTCCGTTAGTTTGTTATACACAATAATGAAGCAGGATAATTTCCAAAAGAGAAGAAAAGCATAGATCAGATAGTATGATTGTAATTTATGAAGAGAAAGGTATTTCTTGTCATTATAAAGTTGAAAATTTGTATACTTGTTACACAACTACAAGAGATATATTAGAAATGTCAAGACTTTGGCAAGAAATAACCAATATTTACATGAAATTTAAAAAGAGAAATTCACATTGTGACATTGAAAATGAAAACCTGTTCATTAATTACCACGTACAATTCGAAGATATTTCAAAATGTGTCTGTGTATGTGTGTATTAGAGAGAGAGAGAGGGAGGGAGAAAGAGAATAGTACTAATCCATCATAATTACTGCAAAGAATTTCCTCATCAATGTGTACAAGTTATTATTATCCACAGGGGGTGAAAATAAAAGTTGGTTATCTACTTGGAGTGATGTGTGTGTGTGTATTTGGAAGAAAGTGTACATTGTATTTAAGAGTTTCCTAATCATTAATATAAATACAATTCAAGAGCATAGACAGGGGGATCCAATACCACTGATATTATAACTCATACTAATTTTACTACTATCATTTTTATTAGTAGTAATAACAAATTTTATCAGCAACTTAGGAGGATCGTTCATTTGAAATGTACCTAGATAGTACCATTAGTAGTATATAGAAGTATAGATACATCCATACAACATAACTATTACTATCAACACTACAATAGTAATAATAATATAACATTACAAATATTGTCGAATAAACACAATATAAGATCACGACGGCAAAGGAAGGCAGTTAATTTACTTTCAAAAGAGAAGAACGTAAACAGTAGCATACAGTCATCATAATCTATGTACAATATTACTATTTATTTCTGAAAGAAGACAAAAAAAGACAATTATCACTCGAAGTTGAAGATACCAATAGTAGTCTATCATTACGTACATGATTGAACAATAATTTACTCTTTTTTCTTCGATTGCACAATCCGGACGATTGATTCAATAATGAATATGGTGGAGAAATCGGGATCAATGTCAATATCAACTCTAAAGATGTAACATATCTGATGTAGTCAATTCCTCTCTCTATCTCTCTCTTCCTCTCTATTCATAGTGAAACTGAAAATTAGATTGTTGTATATTTTGTAGGATGACGTAATAAATTAGGTACAAGCCGAACAGATGGCCATTTTCGTGAACTTGAATTCGTCATTGTATTGTTTTTATTATTATTATTATTACTACTACTACTACTACGAGTAGTAGTAGTAGTAACAGTCTCGTCACCACAATCATCATTATTCTCCACCTCACCATCATCCTCATCTGGATCACAGCTTAGAGTGGTAGTAGTAGTAATAGTAGCAGTGGTAGCCACCGTTGTCATTACTGTAATCACTTCATTAGTATTGTTTATTAGTGCAATTGCGGTTTTGTTTTTATTATTAATATCAATGGGAAGTGTATCTACAGATGTTTTAATTATATTATCATTCACCGATCCATTATCATTATTATTACTGTTATTAATAGTAGTAGTATAACTTGAATCTTCTGCATTCAGTGTCGACAATGGTAATAATGATGTTGACGTCGAAGATTTCTCTGGTAATTCTGTTATTCGACTTTGTTCAGTGATTTGTTCCGAGTCAATTATACTACCACTAGAGATGATCTCTGATTCAGAAGCACTACAAATATAAATAAGAAACTGTTTACCCCTAATGCTAAACAAATAACTGAACATTTAAATGAATTCATAATTGAAATGAAAGAAGTGTTTATTATCTGTTTGATATAAAGTTCAGTGTCTAAAGAAAAACTACTCTATACGACAGTTATGTTGTCATTTTGATATCAGTTGAATTAGGGTCTTACATCAATGACTCGGTCTCGTGAGTAAACTATCACTTGGGTACACAGTATCGTTTATTAGCTTTAATAGTACAACTTTACAAGTGAAATGTTCCCATTAGATATGCTATTTATGGGGAAAACAATGAAAATTATTTCTTTCGACAAGTTAAAAAAAACCGATACTTAAATAAGCCATTTCATTGGGATACTGATTTATGGGAATTTCCTTCCTTCCTAAGAAGTTCTCCACACATACATACATACATACATACATACATACATACATACACATAATCTCTTTTTCTCGTCCTAACAAAGAAAAAGGTGATGAATATTAATCATTAGGATTGTTTTGAAGTCTCAACAAGAAAAAGTCAATAATGCGTATAGTTGAACTGTCATTCTTTTCTAATAATGAACTGACAAGATCAGTTACTTACTTACTTACTTACGCCTGTTACTCCCAATGGAGCATACGCCGCTGACCAGTATTCTCCAACCCACTCTGTCCTCCGCCTTCTTTTCTAGTTCCATCCAATTCTTGTTCATTTTTCTCGTGTCTATCTCCATTTCTCGGCGCAATGTGTTCTTTGGTCTTCCTCTTTTCCTTTGGCCTTGAGGATTCCATGTGAGGGCTTGTCTTGTGACGCAGTTGAGTGCTTTCCTCAATGTGTGTCCTATCCACTTCCAGCGCTTCTTCCTGATTTCTTCCTCCGCTGGAATCTGGTTTGTTCTTTCCCACAGTTGGTTGTTGCTAATAGTGTCCGGCCAACGAATCCGAAGTGTTTTGCGAAGACAACTGTTAATAAACACCTGTATTTTCTGGATGATGGCTTTCGTAGTTCTCCAGGTTTCTGCCCCGTACAGTAGAACTGTCTTGACATTTGTATTGAAAATCCTGACCTTGGTGTTGGTTGACAGTTGCTTTGAGTTCCAGATGTTCCTCAGTTGTAAATATGCTGCTCTTGCTTTGCCGATCCGCGCCTTCACATCTGCATAAGATCCACCCTGTTCATCAATGATGCTGCCCAAATACGCAAAGGTTTTTACATCTACCAAATCTTCTCCGTCAATTGTGATTAGATTGGTGCATTCTGTGTTGTATCGAAGAATCCTGCTTTTCCCTTTGTGTATATTGAGACCTACTGCTGCTGAGGCTGCTGCCACACTGTTCGTTTTCTCCTGCATCTGTTGTTGCGTTTGGGATAGAAGGGCCAGATCGTCTGCGAAGTCTATATCATCCAACTGCATCTTAGATGTCAATTGTATCCCGCGCTTCCCTTTAGACGTTGACGTCTTCATGATCCAGTCGATCACCAGGAGAAAGAGAAAAGGTAAGAGTAAGCAACCTTGCCTAACACCGGTCTTCACTTCGAACGACTTTGTCAACTGTCCTCCATGCACAATTTTGCAGTGTTATCCATCATATGAGTTCTGTATGATATTGACTATCTTCTGAGGCACGCCGTAGTGTCGAAGAAGTTTCCATAGTGTTGTTCTGTCCACGCTATCAAATGCCTTTTCGTAGTCAATGAAGTTGATGTAGAGTGATGAATTCCATTCAATTGATTGTTCCACAATGATCCGTAGAGTTGCGATTTGGTTTGTACACGATCTATCCTTACGGAATCCTGCCTGTTGGTCACGAAGTTGGGCGTCTACGCAGTCCTTCATCCTGTTTAACAATACCCTGTTGAAGACTTTTCCCGGTATTGAGAGCAGAGTGATGCCCCTGTAGTTATCACACTTGCTGAGATCGCCTTTTTTCGGTATTTTGATCAGAAGTCCTTCTTTCCAGTCTGTTGGTACTTGTTCCTCATCCCAAATCTTATTGAAGAGAATGTGAAGTATCCTTGCAGTTGCCGCTACGTCTGCTTTCAGTGCCTCTGCTGGGATATTGTCCGGTCCTGCTGCTTTGCCACTCTTGATTTGCCTGATGGCCATGCTGATTTCTTCAATTGTTGGTGGGCCAACATTGATTGGGAGGTCCGTGGGTGCTGCTTCGATGTTGGGTGGGTTCAGTGGAGCTGGTCGATTCAAGAGTTCTTTGAAGTGTTCTACCCACCTGTTTTGTTGCTCTTCAATGTTGGTGATTACCTCGCCTTCCTTGCTTTTCACTGGTCGTTCTGGTTTGCGGCGATTTCCAGAGAGTTTCTTTGTTATGTCATACAGTTGTCTCATGTTTCCTTCTCTTGCATCCTTTTCCGCCGTCATTGATAGACCTTCCACATATTTACGTTTGTCGGTTCTAATGCTTCTCTTCACTTGTTTGTTTACTTCTGTGTATTCAGCTTGTGCTTTGGCTTTTTCTGCTCTTGTTCGACTGGTATTGATTGCTGCCTTCTTGTTCCTCTTTTCTTGAATCTTATCCAGTGTATCAACAGTGATCCATTCCTTGTGATGGTGCTTCTTGTGACCCAGGACCTCATGACATGTTGAAGTGATTGCCTCTTTGATCCCCTTCCAGTTGCTCTCCACAGTAGTTCCTTCTCCATTGAGCAGATCATGAAAGGCCTGGAACTTGTTGCTGAGGTCTATCTTGAATTTGTTGAGTTTGTTAGTATCCTGAAGAAAGGCCGTATTGAACTTTTGTGATATTGTCCGCCCAATTGTCCAGTGCTTCTTGAGTTTCAATTTCATCTTGGCGACCAGCAAGTGATGATCTGATGCTATATCAGCTCCTCTCTTGGTTCTCACGTCCTCTATAGTCCTCCTGAACGTTTTGTTGATGCAAATATGGTTGATTTGGTTTTGTGTAGAGCGATCCGGTGAAGTCCATGTGGTTTTGTGTATGCGTTTATGTGGGAATATGGTGCCGCCTATGACCAGCTTATTGAAGACACATAGATTTGCAAATCTCTCACCATTTTCGTTTCTTTCTCCCAGTCCGTGTCGTCCCATGATGTCTTCATATCCAGTGTTGTCCGTTCCAACCTTGGAGTTGAAATCTCCCATCAGAATGGTCAGATCCTTTGTTGGCTAGTAGACAACATAAACTATCATTTGACGATTAGATTAGCTTACTGTAGATATGAGTCGTATGACAATCTCTATATGAAATTAATCCATTTCTGAATATATTATCTCTTATTATATTAAAACTGTAGAGAATTTAGCAGTAAAGTATGTTTCTTATTGATTGTATGATTGCACATATCATCACTCACTTTTTTTCCACTCAGTATAAACTCCCATTAATGAGGTTATTACTACTATCAATAGTGATAATAATGATATTATAGCTTGCATTACGAGTTGATCATTAGTGGGGAAATGATTTAAAACTAAGGAAAAGTGAACGGCTGCTTCGTCCTAGTATTTGGCTCCTCAGTGACTCGCCTCAATGATCCTATCGGGATAGATGACCACTGGATGATGAACCTAGAGATTATTCGAAATTCATGTGTTTGTCATAAGACCTAAAGGTTTAGAGGTTCAATCCCAAACGAGAGTAATGGATGCGCACTACCAAGGCATCATCAAGTAGGATGGGACAATTGTCCATTGTTTCTTAATTTTCAATAGCTCTCTAATTAAGATCGACTTGTGATGTAAACTGTGAAAGTTCAACAATCTTAGCAAACTCTCTAAAACAATAGTAATAATCATAATAACACTAATATTTGAATACTACTGATGTAAGTAGTCATAGGAAACGGAGAAACTCACCTCACCATTTCAATATCTGACTTTAACGAATCTACATTATTATTGCTGTGGATGTTGTTGTTAATAGCCGACATCTTGTCAAGCTGCCCACCTTCCGCACCACCACTACTACCATCAACTCGAACAACATCAACGCCAGTTGGATAAGAAGTGATAGCAACAGCTGGAAGAGAATCTTTGAGAATCGCATTCATCATATCATTATTGTTATTATTATCATTATCATCAGTAGTAGAATCAGTGATGATAGAAGTGTTGTTGTAGTCGGTTGTGAAAACATCGCTTGAAAGTAGACTTGTTGTACAAGACATAATATTTGTATACAATGAGGATGATGACGTTATTGATGATGAATATGAAGTAATTGCATTATTATTATTATTTGTAGGACTATTGTCAGTTGATATCATTATTGTTGAATTGCCAGGAGGTGGAATGATCATTCCTCCTTCAGATTCATCTATTTTCATAAAATTAGCTTGATTCAAAGCTAAATTACGACTCTGAAAAGTTTCTTGATTTAAACCAGGTAATAATAAAGCTGATAATAGAGGAGATGACTGAGATGGAGTTGTACTAGAGGCACCAATTGTATGAAATGTTGATGATGATGTACTTAATTCAGGAGAGATATTTGATTTTGGTGAATTAGACGGATTATTCGATTCACCCCCTGTAGTGAATGATTGATGCGAGATAATTGGATGTGTTGGTGATGATAATGAAGTTGTTAATTGAGTATCCATAGGAATTGAGGCATCGACTATTCCTGGTATTAATGCTGTTGTGACTTTTGATGAAACAGTTTCATTAGCTATGGCTACACTATCAGTACGAGTAGATTTTGTGGAACCCTGAAAAGTATCGATGCATCAAATCATTTTTTTAAAAAAAGTAAATGAATATTTTTATTCCGTGGATTCAAACAATGTAGAATGAATAAATAATATATTTGTAATAACCCAATGAGTAGAAAAATTAGATTTTCTGATGTTTCGTGACTAAGTGTAAGTCACTTCTTCAGAGAACAAATAACCAAATTAAAATTAATCCAATAAAGTTGATCGACAGTAATAAACTTAACAACAACACAACATCGTATTTACACATTTTTTTAATGATGAAACAAATAGTATCCGAGTTGGAACTAGTTTTTCTAATTCTCATTATTGATCATTTTGTTGCATAATTACTAAGTAGGTATTGCTTTCATCATAAGCTTTTGTTTGACCGACTAACTATTGTTGTACCACTTACCATTCTTAATCTGTTCCCAGTCTATTACTCACAGTCTCCACAATTCACAACCATATTTGGCTTGTCTATGTACAACTTTGACATTTTTGATTTTATGGTGCGATGTAGAGGTATGATATGTTTTTATATAAATCACGTCTTTTAGAAATATAAATATAGCAGAGACTGGTTGCTTTCTTTTTTAACTCGAAGCAGGGTGTAGAGAGGAGGTAGCGAATAGTCAACTAACAAGAACTTGGTTCTCGAATCGAGGTCAGTAGTGCTGGTTGGATGTGTAATTATCAAAGTCAGAAACACCAAGCCCGAGAATAAATAGCAGACGTGAAATCGACCAAATTTGAATTAGGATCCTGATTAGTTATTTGACACGTAATTTTGGTCAGCACGGCTTCAAGACATAACAGAGTATTGATCATATATTGAGTTTACAATATATCATGAATGCCCAATGGTATATATACGCTTAGGGCGGGGGGGGGATAGTATAACCATTGTCTTGTTTTACGGAAGGGGATTGTTGTTGTTACAGATTCGAATAACCAAATAGCCCATGCTCAACATTAGTTACTATTTTATTTAGAAACTAATTTATTCGAACAGAAAATTGAAACACATCACTTAATTTGTATGGTTATATTGCAACATCACCTGACAGTTCTCCTGAATAAATTATGTAAGCATCTGACAAAAATTGAAGCAATATTGAGGAACTATCTTGTAACGTGGTTATTATTAAATAATAATCATTATGTTAGTATATGTGACTAATTTATGTATTTCATTACCGAGGTTCTATTAAATATTTATGACCAGTAGAATTAGACTGTGTCGGATGTGAGGTAGTTACCTACTGAAGACAATGAAAGATGGTGGTACAATATCTGGAATCGATCGAAGTGCAACACTCAAATTCAATTGTCTAGTAGTCAAGTCCTCACTTCAAGACCTAGGATTCTGCATTCGATCCCCGATGAAGTCATGGATGTTCACTCTTCAGCAATGCCATAATATAACGAAACAACTATCCTAGTTTGCAACAAATATATAACTTCGGTTCGGTTCGTGACGTCAATAATACACATCATTATTCTAAACATTTCAATAGACTAGTATTTACCTACTCATAAGTAGTTAATGTAAAACATCATCTAAAGAGGATGACAAAATACATAATAAATTGATAAATATTAGCTTACTTGATGTTTACCTCCAGTGCTATTGGGATACCAACGTCTGTCAGAGAAGAGGAAACCCGAAAAAAACAGTAGAGAATTAATTTATGAAACTTACATAGAGATTGTACAGGATTACAAGCAAAGAGAGAGCAAACATAAAACTTTAACACCTTTAAACGCATATATATAAATAATCGAGTACTGTATATTGATATACAAGTTAGATAAAGGGATAATTTAAAATATATCCCTATGGTTTATCTTAATTAACATGGTCGGGTAGTGAAATAGTCAATACTTTCTTTTTCAGAATTGAATACAGAAAAATAGTGAATCCGGGCTTAAATACAATACAGCCTCGAGGTCACGGGACTTAGATCTAAAAAGAACATTGTCTACAGATGTGAAAACAAATCTTCCTAATGTGTTATTATTGTTTGTTAATTGTATCATGAATATTATCATTAAATACTTTAAGAATTCGGCTTCAGAGCTCATATTATAGTTTGGAATCAAGATGTAGAGTTTATAATTTAAAATCAGAGTTTGTATCGGGATCTAGAGTTAGTAGTTAGTCTTGTGATGTAAAGTTCAGAACTTAAGATCTATGGTTAGAATTCAGGGTTTGAGATAGCATTTTACCGTCAGTCTAGTCTATATTGTATCTTAATATTTCAAGTTCATTACAAGCCTTAAGAAGATTAGGTTTCTCTAATACTATGGGTTCCTATTGCGTAAATCAATAACACCAACTAGCACACAAAACTTGACCGCTAACACACAACAAAAAAAAAGACAGAAAACTTCAAAAATCGAATCAGAGCAAACAGAAACAAAACGAAATGGTATAAGTAACGAAAACATGACCTCCAAATATACACACATTTTAGCGAAACTAAAAGCGATAGTAATTAATTAGCTGAAGACAAAGCTCATGAAGAAAAACAATTGAATTTCTAGTAAGATCTCAGCATTGTTAACAAATTTGAAGTAATCATTTGACCACTTACTTTAGCAGTACTGGAAACTATAGTTCCAACGGCAAATTTCAAACGGAATATGCTTATTCTAACCCCAAATTCTGAATTCCACATCCAAATAATAAACCTGATCCTAAAGTATAAAACTCTACAGTTTATCTATTTTCATATTGTATGTATGAATCTTCTGATTGATGTTTAGGAATTACAATGATCGGCCTCTTGTTGGCATATGTGCATACTGTGTTGATTGTCTCGATATTGCCTTAAGTCACAAGCATTATAAGCAAAGATGGATAGTGGCTATAAGTGAAATCCAGGAAGTAAGTTTCGTCCGATTTGGGACTCATCAGCTGGATATACCTGCTAGCCATCATCCATCTCTACATTTCAAACCTCACATTCTACTCTCAAATCATTAGATTAAGTTCTATATTCCATAGCCTAAATTATGTTACTAACTTTATCAATTATTATTCATGGATACTTACTATTTTCTGATTGACTGAATAAGATTTCAAGTCATTTGAAGAGTTATCCATGCTCATCTAATATAATTTAGTTTTATACTTTTAAAAAAACTTAATAGGGAAAATTGACCAAGTTCCAATGATTGACAAATACAAGAAAACTGATGTATTTATGAATTAACATGTATTTGTGAAAGTGAGTACATAGGAAAAACTGAAAGAAGAGAATCTATAAGGTTTTCGGAACGTATTCAGCATAAACAGTATCTGAAAAATAGTAAAGTATTCATGAGTGTAATCACTAGACATTTAATGGATAATGGACACAATGTAGATGTCTCAAGACCATTCAAAATAATTAACATACAATATAAACCACTTTTACTTTGTTTCCTAAACCCTATTATTACCATGACAAGTTTTCGATTTGACATTTATATACAAAAAGGAAGTATACTTCTTGTTGCCATGGTCACATGATCTTTACATTTTGGTTGATAAGTTAAAGTTAGAAAAATAGTCCCAGTAATATTCTACTCTAGAAGTTAATTTTAATGTTATATTAAATAGATGTCTTGATTATCACTCTAATTTGTTAATAATTTGTCTTCATTTATTTTCTCTTTATTATTATTTATAACAGAAGGGTTTTTGTGGATATTATAGTAATTTCAATGGTTGAGATCATGAGTCAACCGGGTCTGTTGTGAGATAGTAACTCACTGATGACAATGGTGGATGTGTCGCTCAATTTCGTGGATTAGTTGAAGTTAGACATTAACACTATATTGGATGCCAGCCACTTCAATGGTGTAGAAGTTAAGTGCTCGCGAGTGAGAATGATAGGTCCTGGGTCCGAATCTAGCGAGACGAGGTCGTGGATGCACACCGCCGAGGATTCTCAAAATAAGACGAAACGGACGTTCAGTGCTTCCAAGTTTTCCACGGTTGTCTAGCTTCAATCGACTCATGATCTCAACCATTGAAATTATTATTAATAACTTCAACCGTTCGTCTCCATTCTTCATGCAATCATTTTTAGTCTATGAAATATTAATCAACCTTAACTATTATGTTAAGTATATTGTTTCCTCTCCTTGTATTTTTTTAAGGTCGTTTCGAACTAAATTTCATTGATTATAGTATAAAATTTTTCTCTATAATAATATTTCTATCGTAAATTTAGACCGTTTGGAAATGATGAGAAGCCTTCAAATAAATAGATTTGTCGAATCTACTTGGACAAATGTTTTTGGATAAATCTGTTACTGGATTGCTTATTACTGCTCTTTATAACCGTTTCCTACAACTCTAAACTATACCAACACTTTAACTTGAATAATTGAGAAAAATTGCAATGTATAATAGTAGTTTTGTCCTAAAGTTAGCTACGTAGAGAAAATCGAGAGTATTCATGGAGTTTTGTATAATTCTAACTCCCCAGAAACTTCTAGAGACGTACTAAATGTAGTAACGATCGAAATCTTTCATTTTTCTAAAGAGCTTCTATTCAATTCTGATTGGATAAAACGTTTTCAGGCACTTTCTGGGTCTTTAAAGTCTTTCACGATGAGTAATTTTTGGACTCATCAGGGTTTTTTTTAAAATTAGATAATTAATAAGGTAACTCGAAAATTGAAAACACACACACAGAGTAAAATCAACAGCGCAGCTTATATCTACCTTATGTACCAACTTAACTCCGCCTGGAGTCCCTCCGGGGGCTACTGCCGGTCCCAAGCCCGGATAAAGGAGGAGGGTTGGGCATGGGGTTAGCGTCCCTAACCCGTAGAAAACTAACTCGCTAAAAAAAACGCTGACCAGAAAAAATGTACCAACTTCATTAGAACACTTTCTTGTAATGTTGAAGTGCCATGTGAAAATTGAATAGAAACCATATTTCCCAATTAGAGGTCTATACAATTATAATAAATTTCTTGAAAAGAATGGAAACTCGGGGAAGAAAATTCATTCATTTCAATATTTGTTGGATAGAGTCGCTGAAATGTTTTCCACTTGAGTTTGTTAGTCATTTTACATAACAATAGAGTGGAATCATTCTTTTTTTTCTTGATAAGCTCAAGAATAAATGAAACGATCGTAAAGTAAGAATTGGTTGTAATCAGAGAGGGGTTTCGTGGATACTGTAGTAATTTTAATAGTTAAATTCATGAGTCATGGGTTCGAATCTCGCGAAGCGAGATCGTGGGTCAGTCAGTCAGTCAGCTACAACGTAGAACCAGTCATATATATATGCATCGGTCCAAGTTGCCATACCTCATTAACACAAGAAGATGGACATCGGATTCATAAAAGTAGTTAATTCAGAGGTGGTAATATATAAAAGAAAGATTGCAATAAGAATATAGTAAAGGAAGAAAGAATTAGTTCGTAGAAAGGAAGATATGAAGCGATTTCAATCTCTTAGTTTAAGGGAAGACAGAGAGTGTATACACCGACGCTATTGTGATCGATTCTGAGCCATGTCACCAATAGTCTCCAACGATTGGTTACGATAGTCACGCGGACCCCAACCACTGCTGAGGAGTCCCTTACTAGGACGAAACGGTCGTTCAGTGCTTCCAGGTTTTCTATGGTGGTCTATCTACAATTGACCCATGACTTCAATAATTTGTTGATTAAAACATTAAAAATTCAGTTAATTTTCTTTAAAACACTTGAATAGTTTAAGAAAATTTAGTAATTTTGACGATTTAAACAAGAGACAACTAATTCGAGCTACATATTGGAATTTATGTGTGATATAATTAATAATCTGAAATAACTCTGGTACTTCTTCACACTAATGGGACAGTAGATTGGTTAAGACGCACAATGAACGACTTCGTATACTATTCACTTGCTCTATACTAGATACCCAACTAGCACTATTCTACGACACTTCAACACAATTCAAATCAAGAACATGTGACTCGTTTGACTAGTATGTGTTTTATTCAGTAGCCGACAATCAACTAAACACAAGGGTTAATGAAATATATGTATAGGACACATAAAATATCTGTCACAGTACCCACAAGTTTATCTAAGAAAACAATCAATCCCTATTTCCTCTCGTCCACACAATATAATCATTACTAAGCTTGAAATCTAATACGAATATCCCATTGATTCAAGTGATCATCACACTTTAGTCAGCTAAAAAATATCAAGGACTCAGTCACATATATATATATATATATATATATATATATATATATATATATCAGTTTAGGTGAAAATACCACATCAGCACACCGAGATGAAATCAACAACAGAAATGCCAGAATAGTAGCAATAGTAAAATTAACTGTGTCAGTAATAAAGGAGGCACAGACAATGATTAAAGAAGAAATAATCGCATTGAAATCCTCAAACGATCTAAGTTGAACAACTATTTTAAACCTAGAAGCACTGAACGGCCGTTTTATCCTGGTTTGAGACTCTTCGGCTATGCACATCCACGACCTTGTATGAGTAAATCGAACCAATAACCATCAGTCTTCCACGAGAACAGTTCGATTCACGCATGAGGAGTAGTGGATTCGCACGTCTACTGAGGAGTTCTATATAGAGCCAAACGGCTTCTGCTGCTTTCAGGTTTTTAATAATTGTCCAAGTTGAATAAATTCAGGATTTCAATCATATCCACCAATTTCCACAACCCTATATTTACAAGAACTAAGTAATTCGTGAAACTCAAAATCCAAGGGAGTGCAAAGAAATAATGCATCAACACCATTGAGACTGACACTGAATCGTTTCATCCAACTTCTCCAACGTAGTAATCTTCACTTAACAACATGATCCAGTTCAATAATTAATAGCATCATGTAGCGATATCAAATCTTGGTTTAGTTATCCAATTTTCTTCCAGCATATTCTTACACAAGTAAACATTATGCATGAAGATAGGTGATTGATAATCATAAGTAATAGATATCTTAATCATATCAATTGTTTAAGCAACTGATTTATCATATTTACCAAGTATCCTGAACATAACTTGAATAAAGGAATAAAATTATTCTAATTATGTAATAAATAATACAATATAGAAAGTATACTACAAAAAAGAAATTAGATCAAGAAGTCGGATCGTTTGAAATAACGCTTAAGATGTTAGAAAGGAAGAAATAGAAATAATGAAGTTACTATTGATTGAGATCATTAACCGATTGATGTTAGACCACCGTTGAAAACCTGAAAGCACTGGACGGCTGTTTCGTCCCATTGTGGGACTGCTCAGCAGTGTGCATCCACGATCCTGCTCACAGGACTTGAACACAGGACTTTCGGTCTGGCTCACGAACATTTAATCTACAGACCACTGAGTCATCAACCAACAGTGTTAATATCTAACCTTAACCATTCCACGAAATTGTGCGAGTTATTATTAAATACCAAAAATATACTACAAAGTAAAATGTGTAATGAGTGCCAGGGAGCACTTAACTACTGCTTTATCCTAATATGGAACTTCTCATAAGAAGAAGTGTTCAACAATGACCCTATCAGAGATTGAAACCAGAATTTTAAGATCATACCAATACTAAATTGAAGTAACTCATTAGTAAATAATACTAGGAATAATACACAATAAGACAGTTAAGGTCTATCAAACAAAGACTGATTAATTAATTAATAGACAATTGTTATGCAATTGTAACATAAATGTATATAAGAACAATAAACATATAAGCCGGAACTAAACGATACAAAATAATAATTATATTATATATAAAGGAAGAAACAAAGCTTTCCAAAATAAATAAAACATACACACACACACACACACTTTATGTTACTCTCTCTCTCTCTCTCTTTATAAATAAAAATCAGTCCTTAAATCGATAATCTTGTCTGAAAATCAGCCATCATAATAACAATTAATCAATATGATGTCACAGTTTAACCCATAAACAGTCTACTATACATGAATGAATGTATATGTGTACCTAAACAGATCCACCCTCTCTCTCTCTCTCTCTGTCATTCTCTTAAACAAACACACACGCACATATATACAGAGAGAGAGAGAGGGAGAAAGAAAGAAAACATGGACAGTAAGAGATAGAGTGAAGAAATTAGTAAAGTAAATAGCGTGTTTGAGAGAGAGAGAGAGAGGAAGATAATAATGAAGACAAATTAAAACTGGCCAAAATAAAGGAAGAATGTGTGTATGGATTGTAAACATCTATATACACAATTTCAGACAACTTTAATTTGATCAATAAATAGGTAAATAAACAAACAAAAAACCAACAAACAAATAGATAAACAGACAAACAAAGGAAGGAAGTGAGAAGAGAAGAGGATATATAATAGAATAAGGAATAACAGCCCAGCTGTTGTATTACAATTACCGTTATGCCTAACATGAAGGAACAGCAGATGATAGAATACTACTATTAATTTTAATAATAATACTAAGAAGAAGAAGAAGAAGGACGATTGAATCAATGGAAAACAGAAGACAAGAATAGTACAATGGTCTAGACGTCTGTGTATGTATGTGCACAGTTTACACGTCCATACATGTGTGTGTGTAGGTAGGCACGAATCTTTAAGGACTGTTTTCTCCTAGTTTATTATTATTATTATTATCATTTACTTTGCTCAAGGACATAGAAACATACATGCACCTACATATTCACAAACAAACAAATAAACAAACCTTAAATTCAAACAGGCCTATTGATAAATTTTGAAATTCATTCCATTTTAAAATACAATTACGTAACAGTAAACAAAATGAATTTTTCGGAGGGGGGGGAGGTTGTGAAAAATTTGACATTTTTTCTTAACATTTTTAAATGAAAGAAAAATTTATGATAATCATAGTAACAACTAATCATCTATTGAAAGTTAGAAAGTACTGATATGGAGTATCTATGGTGAGACTATAAATTATGGATGACCTTTGAGCAAAACGCTAAAGTGATCCTGAGAATCTACATCTACTAACTAGGACTAAATGAGGGTTATAAACCAGTGTAATGAATTAGAAGTATGATTTACAGTGAATGATTAAGGTTAGGAATTCAATTTAAAGTTTACATCACAAATTGCCATATGTTAAAATGCCATAATGCTATTTAACCAAAAGGATGAATGAATTTTGCGCCAAAATTGGAAATCTGTTATCTTAAATCTGATTGCTTCGTCCGTAAATTATAGTCTCGCCATGAAAAGTTTACAACCTTTCATTGTGCAAGTCACAAAAAAGTACAATCAGAGACATCGTGGCGGCTGGTAATATTCATTGAAAAGAATGAACATTATTTAAATGTCCATTCCTTAACTGCTAACATTTAACTGGTGATCACTCAATATTTATAGTCAGGATCGACCAAGCAATAAGAATATATATATATATATATATATATATAATCTGACGTTATACCTTTGGGGTGCCGGCCCAGTTGTTTATCATTCATTCAATCGTCGCTATATCAGAAGGTCCTGAAATTGAGACCTGGTGTGGTTGAGGATGGACACTTCTGAAGAATCCCGTACTAAAACAAAATAGATACCCAAAGTTTCTTAATTTTCAAAGACTGTCTGACAAAAGTCAGCTTGTGTTGTAAACTGTTAGAGGAATTCCAAAAATATCCCTCATTAAATCCCTAGAGGCCCAGAAACTCCAGGAAACGTTTTGTCCAATCCGCGTTGAATGGAAACGTTGCAGAAATATCTAGAAAATGCAAAATCATGTGCATCAGTTTTGATAGGATATTTACCTAACATGCTACTACATTTTGTGTGGTTCCAGAGAATTCCGGAATCCCAAGACCATTTGAAATACTATAAGTAACCCTGATTTTCTGTACCTAACTATAGAGCAAAGCGTTGGTTTCGCACTTCGCGTCTTTTCTCTTATGTTCATGTTGCCATGTAGATGAAAACTTATGGCTATTAGAAGCGGCTAGAGAACAAAATCGAGCGTTCATTTAGCAGACTTATCCAATCTATATAATGAAGTTATTACCGAGCAATTACGAAACTACCCATATTGACCATCATTTCTAACGAGCTAGAGCATAATCCTTTTCATAAGAAATATCAATATGACCGTATAATTAAGTGTTTGGCAAAAACGGACTACGTTGAAATAAAGGTAGACTGGGCTAGCTGAACGAACTGTAAAACCAGTGAATTTTGTTTTTTTATAAAAACCCCCCAAGCCTTTATGCAATTCATTATAAAGTATGCTTGGAATGAGAGATTGGCATAGTCCATATAGAATGTTTAAATCACTCTTATTAATTACTGAATA